TCAGTCTCTTACTAGATACTAGTCAATGATCAGCAGATTGAAAAATCACATTTGAGTCACTGCAGGCTGTTCACACACACACACACACACACATCCTGATGTGTGTGTGTGTGTGTGTCCACATCCAATCAAAATCTAAATATGTGTTTCATGTCTCAATAGGTGGTTGCGGTTCTGGCCCGGGCCCCCCCCCCCCCCCTCCCCGCTGCTCTTCTTGAGGTTTGTTTGGGAACGATATCAAATAGCATCAAAGGTGAAGAACCCAGTGATGATGTCACTCACCCACGGACTCCTTCGGTTCTTCTCTAGTTCCTGACGGCGGTCGGTCCAAACCTGAATCCAGTCCTCGGCTCAAAGTATTCCAGTACCTTCACAGGATTCTTTCCCAGAGTAAAGTCCCATTTTCCAGACTCCCGTCCCTCGTCAACGTGCGTCTCTTCTTTCTAAATATCCATGTGTGTCAGTAAGCTGTGGTTCGTGGTCTTCCAGAGTGGACAGGTCCGGCTGCCGTCTCTCTGCTCTCGCTGCCTCTGGCTCTATAGATAGAGAAACGGCCCATTGTTCTAAGTGACAGAATTTCCTTCCTTTGCAGGGGACAACACCTATATCCTGACTGGGTGAGGGAGCGAGCGAGAGAGAGAGGGAGAGAGGGAGAGAGGGGTGAGAGAGGTTGGTAGTAGGCAGGAGAATGTAGGACTTTATTATTTTAAACTGCAGTAAGAACAGCAGTGTTGAGACTGCTGTTTTAGTGCTCACTCAGACCAGGACCAGGACCAGGACCAGGACCAGGACTGGTGTCCATTTACTGTAGCTTAATGTGAGGTTTTGCTGGAAATAGGAAATGGACAGTTTGAGAGGAAACAAGACACCTGTGACCTTTGACCCAGTCTTCAACAGGAAGAGGTTGATGGGAGAAAAGGGAAAACTGTCCTGTGTCCCAGTTTGGTGACTTTCCTGATGTCCACGCTGCTGACATGAGAGGAGACTCAGAGAATTCCACTGCAGATCATGAAATCGTGTGGAACTGAAATGAAAATGAAACAAAGACGCATCATCAGCTGTGATGTCATCAAATGTCACCTTCACTGTTGATCTGTCAACTTTTTCTGCTGTTGTTTGGTTAAATCTCACTGCTTTTAGATTATTATTAGTCAGATTATTATTAGTCCAATCGTTTTCAGATGCAGATTTATTATTAGTCTGATCTGTCAACTTTTTCTGCTGTTGTTTGGTTAAATCTCACTGCTTTTAGATTATTATTAGTCAGATTATTATTAGTCCAATCGTTTTCAGATGCAGATCACAGCATTAGTAGAGTTGAACAAAATATTTTTAAAAAACAAATGAAGTCAAATGTTTGTGTAAGAACAACAGTAGATCTGGTACTACTGTAGTATGTGTGTAGATATATATGTTTGGGATTTAAGAAAAAAATGTATTTTTAGTTTTTACTTCTGTGATTTTTTTAAAACTTCTTTATAAACAACAGATGAAACAGAAATGAAATGTGGATCATCTGAACGAGTCACTCTTGGCTGCTTTTCTTCACCAGGGGTCGCCATAGCACAGCTCCAGTGCTCTTGTTTCTCTGTGTCATCGTCCTTGATGAAAAAGTAGTGTTGTGACGTACATCAGTGACGTCACTGTAGGGTAAAACGCCGTGTGTTCAACTGTGCGGTGACGGAGCTCAGTGTGGTTTTTAAAGTCTACGTTTAAAGTCCAATCTGCGGTAAGAGCTCGTGTCCGCCTGCAGGGAGCAGTAGAGGACTAACTGTGTCTACAACGCAAGAAGAAGGACTCAGAATAGCACGACGTCCCAACATCCTTTGCGCGTCAAACATCTTTGAAGAGGACACGGTTAAAGGCGAACCAAGGTGAGATGTGAAGTATTGTTCAGTGGCTTCACTTTTGTTGAACTACAGTTGTATTATCGAGTTGTTTTTCTGCCCTGTTCATTAAACCGGTTAGTCAAAATGTCGGTAAAACTCACCTCAGTTGGATTTTCCGAGCTAGCACTTAGCAGCTAACCAACCGTCTAGCTAACACGGTGTTGATATGTTGAATAACTAGTCCCCAACAGTCATTGGAATGGAAGAACACTGAGTTTGAACACATTCAAATATTTAAAATACATTCGAATGTGATTTTGATCTATGTGTCTAATATCCAGCCGTGTTTTGTCCGGTGTTGTGTCGGATTTGACTGCACCGTCAGAACAGGCTCCGTCGGGCTGTTGTTTAGTCAATGTCATGTCGTGTTACATCACGAAATATGAGGAGGAAATTAAGGTTGAAAAATAAACAGTGAGTGTTTTTGCCGACATAAACAAAAAGCTGTCAGGCCGAGCATCTGTTCACACACAGACACGATGACGTGAATGGTGTTAAACTTCCTTTATGTTGTTGCCTGTGCTGGGTGTTCTGTTTCCGGTCGAACTGAGTCTTTGGTTCAACAGAACCTTGGTTGGACTTACTCTTAGTAGCTCCTCATCACGGACCAAAGCCTTCTTAAACAATTCACTCTAAGACAGTCTAAATAAACTCATGTGTCTACCTTTTCATTTGATGTAATTTAATTGATGCAGAGCCAGTGAATGGACCTTACATTTAAAACGACTGAGTAGATGCTGATATCTAGCAGGTTAATGACCTATCAGCATAAACGTTCATGTTATGGTCAAATTCAAAATGTCTAAACTAAATCTAAAAAACCAAACAGTTTTACTACCTGAAAGATTACCTGTTATATGTCGTCAGGTTTGAAAAAATGCATCAATAACTGTGTGTCTTTTCTTTCTAGACTCTTCTGTCGACTGTTCAACTCTTATTCATAATGTCTGAGGCCATTGATGAGAAGATGATGAACTACAAGACGGCACCCTTTGATGCCCGTTTCCCCAACACCAACCAGACCCGCAACTGTTTCCAGAACTACTTGGGTGAGGACAATAAACTTGGAGTAGATGGAGAGTAGGACGCTGTGAGGAAACAAATGGAGACATTTCTTTAATGCTCTGGTGGTAATAATGTGTGTGTATGTGAGATTCATTATAGAAGACTATAAGAAATGTAACATTTTGTTAGTTGTGTCTGTGCAGGTTCTCAGTCATCCAGGTCTTACCAAGTGGACGGGGTAGGTTTCCTGAGGACATTTCACCTCTCGTCTTCTTGACTCTCACTGAGGAAGGATGAGGGGAGAAAAGGTTTTCAAGAAACCTACTCCGTCCAGTTGCTCTCCGTGTAACTATTTCTGGTTTAGTTAGTTGTATTTTATTTAAAAACCTCATGACGTGTCTTAATTACACTTGCCAGTTATTAATTGTTGTATTTTTTTTAACAAGGTTTGTTGTGAAGCTAAAATTATAGAGTACAATTTCCCCTTTTTGATTCATTTCATCTTCTGCTGCAGATTTTCACAGATGCAACAAGGCCCTGGGAGCCAAAGACCAGGACATTAGTCCCTGTCAGTGGTACCAGAGGGTTTACAAGAGTCTGTGTCCGACCAGCTGGGTGAGTGTTGTGATTGGTCCACGGACTCTTACTCCCCACCCACTACATGAACCTCTTCTTACTCTCTGACCTACTATGACAAGAACTGTACTTTAACTATTTATTATTTATTATTATCATGTTATCATTTATTAACTATTTATTATTTATTATTATCATTTATGTGTTTTTGTATGTTTACTGTGACTCTTATTGTAAGTCGCTTTGGATAAAAGTCTCTGCTAAATGTAATGTAATGTTAAAGTGAAATAAGTGACCTTCAACTTGACACTGTGACCTTTGACCTGTCAACACGAACCTTAGGACCGGACCAGGAGCAGAACTTTTTATGTGCTGTCTGAAGGTGGCGCTCCTTAAGAGTCGGTCAGTGATGTATTTGCCTCTGCTCTGTGGCAGGTGTCGAAGTGGGATGAACAGATGGAGGAGGGGTCGTTCCCTGGGAAGATCTGAAGACCTGTTATGGACCACAGCGTAGACTGCAGGTTACCTCTGTAGAATTAGCCTGATGACTGTCATCATCATCAATGTTACTACAAACACGCACAAGTCTCTGCTCTGCCTCTGTAAAGGTTTGTTCCCAGTTTTCAGTCTGTTGTCTACGACATTGTTAAAATAATAAATATAAACCAATTTAAATCAAACTCTGCTTTTGTTTCTACTCTGTTATTTTTATTGATTTCACTGTGCAGTAGAAAATACACTTGATAAACGTTAGGGTGCGCTCTACTCTGGAGGAGTTTTTGAAAAAGTGGTAATGTGAAATATACGACCACTGAAAATTAATTTAAACAAAAATATATTTTATGTTCTTTCTCCTCAGAACAGTCAGCACTTTTTCCAAATATATTTACTCTGGATTTGTTGCACCAAACACAAGAAAAGACTAAAGTTATTTCAACGACTTTAAACATTAAAGTATGAATAATGAAATATGCACGGACCCTGACATCCACTAGGGGTCAGCATGCTCCAGAAAACAAAGCCAGAACACTGTCGGTGGGTAAATATGTGGTTATACAATCTGTATTACACTAGATGGCGCTGCTGCTCCATCACGAAACAAACCAGTCACAGTCCGCCGGCTGCTGGTACTTTGTAGACGCGGTGTACATGTAAGTACTTCGTCACTTCAGGTACATGTGTTTGTAGGATATATATATATATATTTACTGTTGATGATCATTTTTGTCTTAGTGAACTCTTTCATCCGCCCGGACCGAGCACAGCAGCGCCTCCTCTGGTTGACTTGGACTGGTGTCCCTCCACACACAAAAAGTCCCCAAAATGCCTTAAAATACAAGATTAGGTCCTAAAACATGCTGCCAAGTGATTATTTTGTGTTTTAAAGTCCAAAAATATTTTATATGAATATTTAAAAAATCACCCAAAACACGCCTTACTATAGCCTTACCATCGTGAAAAAATCCAAAAAAA